GGCTCGCCGCGGCTGCTGGCGCTGCCGGGCTGCATCCCCGCGCAGTCGGACGAGACGCCGGTGGACTACTCCGAGTGGGCCTTCGACCGCGGCATGGGTCAGGAGGCATCCTCTCGCACCCGCTGTGCCTTGGCTGGGGGCGAGCTCGCGCTGGGAAGGCCCGTTCGGCGCCTCTTTCCCCCGGCGAACGCGTCGCTGTCAGGCGGGGCGCAGCGCCCGTCGGGCCACTCCCGCCAGCCGCTGCCGCGGGCGCCTGCGCGCGCGATGGCGGCCGTGCTGGCCTCGCGGGGGAAGCCAGACTCGGGGCGGTGCGTCTTGGTGACCTTCGAGTACGACCTGAGCCCGTCGGAGACCACGACCTTGCTGGCCATGCAGTTTCTGCCAGGCAGGTGCAGAGTGGTCGGAGGGCTGCAGCGACCCCTCCTGCTCCTGCACCCAGAGGGACTTACTGCCAGCTCCAAGACGGGCGAATTCGACTCCACAGTGGGGCCCGACCTTCATCGACGTCACTGGATTGGGCGTGCTGTCGTGCGGCTGCAGCTGCTTCGTCTCGGGGACGAGCTGCTGTTCGTGAGCTCGCACCCGCAGCGCCTGGCCGACTTCCATGTTGCTTGTCAATACCTCAAGCTCGAAGGTTTGGACTGTTCGCCGCACTTCCTGAGGCACGGCGACGCGACATACGTCTGCGTTGCAGGGTACCGCGCGCTGCTGGAGGTGCGGAGGCGAGAAACGTGGAGGACGACTTCGTCTGTTCGGAGGTACGACTAGGCCGGTCGGCTGGCGGTGGTCAGGCAGGCCCTCAGCAGCGCCCAGGGGAGAAGCTGCGAGAACTGGGCGGCAGCCGCCCCGCAGCTCTTCGACATCGCCTACGTGCTGCCCTCCGCGCTGGCCGCCTTGGCGAGCGGCGGGCGTTCCTGGATCTCTTCTCAGGCTCGGGTGGCCTCGCCGCCGAGCTAAGGAAAAAGGGGGCGCGCGGTGGTTTCAAGTGACGTTCTCCTGGGCCCAGAGTGCGACTTGCTGCAAGATGATGTCTTCCGCACCCTTCGAGGCTGGCTTGAGTCTGGCATCATCTGGGGCATGTTTTCAGGCAGCCCTTGTGAAAAATGGTCGCAGGCTCACAGGGCTCCGCCTCACAGTGTGATGCCTCGTCGCTTGCGGACGAAGGAGCACCTGCGAGGCCTGCCAGGCCTGGAGGGCGCCGACTATCACGATGTCGTTACCTCGAACAAGCTGGCTGACAGAGTCGCACTCTTGCTAGGCATCGCCCTGAGACGCCAGCTGCCAGCTGGAGAGGAAAATCCCGCATGCAGTCTGCTGTGGCTGCTCCCCAGCCGCCAGCGTTTTCACTCTCATGCCAATGTCCAGACTGTTGTCTTTGACTATTGCGGGGCTGGCCGTCCTTTTCGCGCGCGCACTCGTATGGCTCTCGCCAGTATATCTGTTCCGCCAGAACTATACACATGGCACTGTAAAGGTAGGGGTGTTTGCACGTTTTCGGGCAAGCCGCACCTTGTTCTGTCTGGTAAGTCCAAGGCCGGCTTCCTTACTCATCTTAAAGCGTCCTACCCCCCGCGCCTGTGCTCCGTGCTCGTTCGAGAACTTTCTCACAGCTATTTGTCTCTGCGGGCTAGCCGCCTGTGGAATTTGATGCGGTAATCCAGTGCATTGCTTGAAGACGGGGTGTGTTTATGAGGATGGGTTGTGTGGGACAAACTGCCCACATGACATGTTGTCTTCGCCTCAGCATTTCTCTGGAAAACAAGAATGAACATAGCAGTGCACGGTATTGTTCATTGCATACGTCCGCTTCACTCGCTCTGTAGCCATCGCTTCTGCCCTCGCCAGCCCAAAGCCTATTTAATTGTTGCGTTCTCTGCGGGTTGTGTGGGACAAGCTGCCCACATGACATGTTGTCTTCGCCTCAGCATTTCTCTGGAAAACAAGAATGAACATGGTTTTCTAATGTGTTTCGCCTTCTCACGTTTTCCCGCTTCCAACCCTCGAAGATCGAGGATTTTGAAAAGAACAGGGAGTGAGTTCCCAGAATCCCCCCTTTTTTAAAGTGGGACTCCTACTCGGGGGTCCTACACATCCCCTGACATCTGGTCGGTACCGCGCCTCCGGGCTTCCCGGGGGGAGACCCCAAGTCGCCGAAGGACAGCCCATGACGACCCCAAGGAGCCTCCAGAACGTGGAGAACGGCCCAACACGTTCCCGCGCGGCCCGCGACACCCTTCCGACGGCTCTCCAGGCCTCCAGGAGGCCTCCAGAACCCCCAGGGGGGTCCGGAAGACCCCACACCCCTGAGGGGCTCGGCTAACAAAACCCGCGAGGCACAAATAATTTTGCCTGGCGAATGACCCAAGCATTTGCAGTTGTGAGTACCGCAATGATGAATATCTTCTTCGGTGGCGCTCCCTATGGGGCCACGAAGCGCTGTACTGGGTGGGTGAAACGCAGGGAGCAAGGGCTGTGCTGGGTGGTGGCTGACGCATGCGGGCGGTCCCACTGGGGGCTTCGGTGGAGCTCCCTAACGGGCCACGAAGCGCTGTACTGGGTGGGTGAAACGCCGGGAGCAAGGGCTGTGCTGGGCGGTGGCCAGCGCATGCGGGCGGTGCCAGTGGGACCTTCGGTGGAGCTCCCTATATGGGGCCACGAAGCGCTGTACTGGGTGGGTGAAACGCAGGGAGGAGGGGGAGGAGGGCCACGAAACGCTGTACTGGGTGGGGGGGACGCATGCGGACGGTAGACCTGGAACCTTCGGTGGAGCTCCCTATGGGGCCACGAAGCGGTGTACTGGGTGGGTGAAACGCAAGGAGGAAGGGGAGGAGGGCCACGAAACGCTGTACTGTGTGGGGGGTGCGCATGCGGACGGTAGACCTGGAACCTTCGGTGGAGCTCCCTATGGGGCCACGAAGCGGTGTACTGGGTGGGTGACACACAAGGAGGAGGGGGAGGAGGACCACGAAACGCTGTATTGCGTGGGGGGGACGCATGCGGTCGGTAGACCTGGAACCCTCGGTGAAGCCCCCTATGGGGCCACGAAGCGTTGTACTGGGTGGGTGAGACGCAAGGAGGAGGGGGAGGAGGGCCACGAAACGCTGTACTGTGTGGGGGGAGCGCATGCGGACGGTAGACCTGTAACCTTCGGTGGAGCTCCCTATGGGGCCGCGAAGCGTTGTACTGGGTGGGTGAAACGCAGGGAGGAGGGGGAGGAGGGCCACGAAACGCTGTACTGGGTGGGGGGACGCCTGCGGACGGTAGACCTGGAACCTCGGCGGAGCTCCCTATGGGGCCACGAAGCGCTGTACTGGGTGGGTGAAACGCAGGGAGGAGGGGGAGGAGGGCCACGAAACGCTGTACTGTGCGGGGGGTGCGCATGCGGACGGTAGACTTGTAACCTTCGGTGGAGCTCCCTATGGGGCCGCGGAACGCTGTACTGGGTGGGTGAAACGCAGGGAGGAGGGGGAGGAGGGCCACGAAACGCTGTACTGGGTGGGGCGGACGCCTGCGGACGGTAGACCTGGAACCATCGGTGGAGCTCCCTATGGGGCCACGAAGCGGTGTAATGGGTGGGTGAAGCGCAGGGAGGCAACGGAGGAAGGAGGAGGGAGGAGGGGGCCGAGGAGGAGGAGGAGAAGGAACGCGGGAACCGTCTCTTCAAAACGAGGGCCCAACAACTCAGGTTGGTTGAGAAAAACAGCGCCGAACAGCGCCGAGGAACTGGAAAAACATGAAAGTCCACAATTCTTGTTTTTTTCAAGTTTGGCCCCCTGTCTACTCTTGCACAACAGACCACAATTCAGACCCCCCTCACCTCCCAAAAAAGAACCCAGGAAGCTTTTGAGGGCCCCAACTCGTTGAACACCTTAAGGAAATTAATGATTTCTGCGTTTCCGCGTTTCCCCTTTCATACACGTCCGAGGCTTGCGCAGGGCCTCCAAGGGAGTCCTTAGACGCAAGAAGCGACCAAAATGAGATGACATGAGTTAGCCCATCAAGCCTAGCTAGAACTTGAGCGCGCGCGCGCGAAGCGCGCGCGATGGTTCTAGTCAAAGTATACGCAAAGTGATGCGTCCGAACATGTTGGGGGATCGTTGTTGTGACAGACTTGGCGGTGACTGGGGGGGCCTTCTGTAGCAGTGGGCAGAAGGTGGCTGTTTGAAGGGGGCCCGGCGGCCTCGGCTGAGCAACTGGCCGACCGAACCAGGGAGTCGAGTTTGAGGACGTCGAGGACCCGCGATCGGAGGTGACGGGGCGGACCTGCGCGAGGCCAGGGGAGAAGACAGGCTGCTGTCGTGCTTGTTTGTGAAGTGCGTGCACGTGGTATGTATTCACGCATGCAGGCCTGGGTGCATGTCAGTGTGCGCGCGCGTGTAGGTGTGTATGGAGGTATGTGGGCGTATGTGTGGTTATGCGTGTGTGCGTACGTGCGTATGTAGAAGTGTACGCACAGTGACGCTCTCGAACATCTGTGGAGACTGGTGGTGCGAGCGAATTGGAGATCGGAAGGCGCTCCAAGAGGACTCCGGGACCGCCATGAGGCCCTCATCACGTCCAAAGAGCCATCCGAAGAAACTCCGAGAGGCATCCAAGAGGACTATGACCATTTTGCTCGCTCGCTTCCTCCTTCTCCTCGCCCGACTACCCCTCCTCCTCTTTCTCCTGCTCGTCCGATTCCTCCTCCATCCTCCCCCTCTTGGGGTAAGACCGTCTCCCCAGCCCTTTGTTACTCTGTATGCTCCCTCATTTCCCTGATCACCTGAATTCGCATGGGCATCGTTTGTGGATGGGCTGGTCCTCAAGACACGTTCTGTGCAGGCTGATGAAGATGAACAGAAGGTGGGATAAGTGTATGCTGCTTGGTAGGACCAGCGAGGGGGGACTGCGCACAGTGAGCGGGTGCGCAGTCGGAGGGCCTCCAGGCCGGAGGCGCCGTTCTTCAGCGCGTCGTCACCACCTCGAGAAGCTCGTGGACGAAGTCCACGGGTTCGCCCTAGTAAGCTACAGCGCTGGGACCAGCGCGTGCGAGAAGTGCGAGCAGTGGCAGCGGGCTTTCGCGCTCCTCAGAGAGATGAGGGAGGCGAAGCTGGAGCCAGACATCATCAGTTACAGCGTTGGGACCAGCGCATGCGATAAAGGCGATCAGTGGCAGCAGGCGCTGTCGCTACTCAGCGAGATGCGGGAGGCGAAGCTGGAGCCCGACATGATCATATCTACAATGCCAGGAGCGGGACCCTGGGAGACTCTCCAGAAGTAAGAGGAAGTGGTTGTCCTATGGCTCTTTCTTTGCGGTTTCGAACATTCCTTCCTCTGGGCCTCAGATCGCGCACGAGGGCTCCAGATGCCACCCGAAATCGCCCCAAGGCGGCCTGGCAGATCCTCAAGAAGACGGCCTGGCATGGCTCCAAGACAGCCCAACAGGGCTCCAAAACGGCCAGGGTGGCCGCCAAGATGGCCCAGAGGCGGACCCAACGCGGCCCAGGGACGCACGAAGATTGCACCAAGACCCCCCCCCCCGAACGCCCACAGACCTCCCAAGAACAGCTCCCAGGGGCCCCTTGTGAGCCCAAGAAGCCCCAAAGAGGGCCCCGAAAAGGCCACAAGATGCCCCGAGGTCCCCGAGAGACAGCTCGAGAGGCCTCCCCCACGAGGCGCCAAGTTACCCCTAAGGGGTCCCTTCCCCCTCCCGCCTCCTCAGTCTTCGGCTCTCCCTCGTCCCTCCTCGCCCCTCTCTCCTCGGTCGTCGCCAATCCCTTCTCGCGTTGCGCTAGTCGCTCCTCGCTTCTCTCCCCTCCCTCCTTGATCCCCTCGATCCCGACTCCTCGACCCTCTCATGGGAGCAGGTCAAGTCAGCAAGCTGAAGTAGTAACAAGCAGGCGGCAGCAGCAGCAGCAGCAGCAGCACGCAGAAACAGCAAGCAGCAGCAAGCAGCGGGCATCAGCTCGCACCAAGCGGAGCTGGCTGTCAGCAGCACCAAGCAGCAAGCAGCAATAGCACGCGTCAGCAGTAAGCATTAGCAACATCACGCAAGAGCGGCAGAAAGCAGCAGCACGCAGCAGCATGCGCGGAATTCGAAGTTCGAGCCCCACGTTGTCATTCCAGCTGTTCGGCAACAAGTCCACAATCACATGCCAATTCGTACGGATTTCGTGGACGTACTCCACAGGTCAGCCCTAGTCAGCCACAGCGCTGAGATCAGAGCGTGCGAGAAGGGCGAGCAGTGGCAGCGGGCGCTGACGCGGCTGAGCGCGCCGTACGAGGCGAAGCTGCAGCCAAACGTCATCTTTCTTGCAACACTGGGAGCAGCGCGTGGTGCTCGGCTATTGTGGCAATGTCTGGAGGGGCCCGCCGGGAGGGGACGGCAGGGGGGCCCGCCGGGAGGGCCTGCGTTTCCCAGGCGGCCCAAGCGGTTCCAAGTGGCTTCGAGGTTCGCCGAAGATGCCTCCAATACGATCGACGACGGCCTGGCGTCTAGACGGCCTCAGAGGGCCCCCAAATAGCACAAGACGGCCTCCAGAGGGCCAAAAACCTTCCTACAAAAGGCCCCAGGGCTGTGGTGGAAGACCACGCCGTCGTGATCGCGGCGCCTGCAAGCTGCCCCGACGACAACGTGCGACCTCACGGCTGGCGTTGAGGTGCGTTCGAAGAGAGAATGGTGATGTACGAGACGAAGTCTGCATGCGCTTTCCCAGCTTCTTGTCGCTGCGGGCCGCTGGGCAGAGCCAGCGGCACTACCGTGATCTCCTGGTAGGCTTAAGTTGGGCCTGTCCCTCTACAGGAAGAATTTTCAAAAACAGTTAAGAACATAGCCAGAGGACGACTTTTTTATTAAAGCATGTTTGACTATTTTCGAATATTTTGGAGTATTTGAAAGTGTTCGCCCACAATCCGCCTGTATGGGGACATGCCCGACCTAATGGCATGCGGCCGGGCACTCCTCGAGGAGCGGGTGCCGGGTCGTCGTGCACGAGCAGCACGATCGCCGCCGTGGCGCGGCACGTGGCGGGCAGCGTGGAAAGCACCGCGCGCGGGTCGCGGGCGGCCACCTTCCGGCGTGGCGGGGGGGCACCGGCCCGAGGAGCTAAGCGGCGGGCCCACGTCGCGCCGACGTGCCCTCAGATCGACGACTATAACCCTCGTCAAGATCAACCTCAAAAACGTCTTGCGTGGCTGAACAGTTTGTGGGGAGATACTGGACAGAGTAGCGATGACTGCGAGGTACTTGCATGCGCCGCCCCTCCAATGTCGGTCATCATCGAACTTCCGAGTCGTTCCCAGTCAGACCACCTGTGCCCTGGCCCCGACATTGGAGGGGCGTCCATCGACATTGAAGGGCGCGCCGACATCGCAGGGGCGCGTTCGCCGTTTCTGAGGTTCATGCTGACGAGGGTTAAAGGAGGCCGCATGTGCGAACCCTAGCCCACCACCCCACGATTTCTTGGGGGGGAGGTGGGGTTCACTTCGTGCCCGTCAGCGTGCGGTGCCGGGTCCTGCTCATCTGGCGTCCGTCGGCGTCCGCCACGGGTGTCGGAGCCATTCGGGATTTGGCACTCCCACTCGCCCTCCTCCTGGCTGCACTCCGCGTGCGGCCCCTGGAGCCGCTCGTCGCGGAAGAGCCACTTCGGCAAGGTCGTGAATCGTTGCCTCGCTGGTGCGTCCTGTGCCCACAGTGCAGGCGACGGCGGAGCTCGTCCACTTGGGCGGCCGTGGGCCCCTGGTCCTCGGCCTCCAGCTCCATCTCCGAGATGTCGTCCTCCTGGCCGTCCGACTCGTGACGCGGCAGCCAGCTACATTCACTCATCTGCTGTGCCGACGCCAGCGTCGCGGTGCCGCCCCCACGGGCCCAGCTCGCCAGCTCCAGCCTCCCGTCCACGATCTCGTCGTCGCTCGCCGGGCACACCGCCGGGCCCTTCCTTTTGCACCTCTTCCGCCGCCGCTGCTGCGAAGGCGCAGCAGCAGTAGCGGCATCCTGAGGGGCGCCCCCGCGCGCTCCATCGCCACGCCACGCCCGCATGACCGCAGTGGCCACGACAGCCTCGGCGGCTGCGACAGAGCGGTGCGGAGTGCCTGCCCGCACGGCGGCAGTGACGGCAGCGTCCACAAGGGCCGCTGCCATCTTGCCGCCGCCGTCCATCATCCCACGCGCGAGGCCGCGGGGAGGGCTGGCGCGTGCATTTGAGCCCGAGACTTGTTACAAAGGCCCCGAGAGTGCTCCTAGAGCACTTCCAGCAGGGCCTTCCCGGTGCAAACCTCGAATGCTTTCTGCATGGTTTGACAGCACGGCCAGCGGAAAAGAAGCCAAAGCCGAGTCGGCCCAGCAGGGCCACCCGGCAGCCCGCAGACCCGAGATGAAGCGTCCTGAGGCTCGGGACCGCGCGACCCCGAAAAAGGAACAGGAGAGGGCGGGCAGACTTTTTTGTCGGGCGGCGGTGCGCGCCGTCCTTGGCGCCGGCGGCGCGGGCCCTCGTGGCCGCGCGCCCCGGCCTGTGGCAGCACAGGCGCCTGCTCACGGTCACACCCCCCGCGCCAAGGCCAGCGGCCGGCGCCGGCGCCATTGGCGTCATATTTTGGTGCCCCGTCATATCCTAATCCACACGCAAGGTATCAGACCACGCTGTGGCGGCTGCGCACGCTGCGTTAGCTGGCGCTGCAGCCGCGGATCCCTCTGGCCCCGCTGCACTAGGCGCCCAGCTCTGGCTTCTAGACGCCCATCCCTCCTCCCCCGGCGGCGGCTGGTCCCAAGGCGGCGGGGGTGGCGGCGGCAGGGTCCTGGCGCCGAGCGACATTGGGTTGTGACGCCAGCGCTGCAGCCGCGGGCCCCTCCCGCCCCGCTTCACGAGGTGCCCAGCTCTGGCTGATAGGCACCCAGCATTCCTCCCACGGCGGCGGGTGATCTTATTGCAAGTTCTTCCTTCGCCGCGGGGGCGGTGCGGCTGGCGAGTTCTGGCGGACCGGAGGGGCGCGGGAAGTACGCGTCCTTTCGCCCGCCTGTCCCCACCGCCCCCCCCTGGCGGGCGCGAGCAGTGGTCGTCCTGCTCCCCCACCCCTCGGGCCCGCCCCAAGGTTTGCTCCTGTCCTCCCCTGGCGCGGCTTGCCTCGGCGTCTTGCGCCCGGGGCTGGTTCGCTCTCGTCAGCCACGCACGTCGTACCCTCGTTCGCCCCCCATAGAAACCTATGGAATGAGGTGCTGCTCCAGCGCCCGAACCTCTTGATCAGCTCCACGTCCGGGTAGATGTGGTAGAGGGCGGCGGCATTTCCGATGCGCAGCAAGTGGGATCGCATGCGTTCGGCGGGCAGGCTTTCTTCCCTCGCCACCTGCTCGAGCACCTCTTGTAGCTGCTCGAGCTTCACCAGTGTCCCGTCTCGCCAGCGGCAGAGCGGGAGATGCTGAGATGCTTCTCGGTCGTGCAACGTTCGGGGAAGTGCTGCTGCATCCACTCCGCCGCCAGAACTGGGCTGAGCCCCTCGCTGGTGCGGTAGTGGTTGCGCGCCTCTCCTGCCTGCAGCTGGTCCGCCCTGGAGCTCTTGAACCACGCGATGATTTGGCAGAGAGAAGACAGGACTCGTTAAACCACCTGCGCCCAGAGGGGAATGACACCGTGCGGGCCACTTGCGCGCGTCAGCCGCGCGCGCATGGTTTTTTTTCACCGTCGTGGGGACACCATCATCGTCATTGGCATGATCAGCATCGGCGCCATCATTGGCCTTGCCATCATCATCATCATCATCATCATCATCATCATCATCATCATCATCATCACCACCACCACCATCGTCATCATCATCATCATCATCATCATCATCATCATCATCATCATCATCATCATCATCATCGTCATCGTCATCGTCATCGTCATCGTCATCACCATCGTTACCATCATCATCGTGCTTGCCGTTGCCGGCGTCGCCGCGATAGCGCGCCCGCCCAAGTCAAGGACTGGCACTGAAGCGCACGCGCGCGAGCACGGCCTGCGCGACGCCCTGGGGAGTGACGTGCCCAGCGGTCAGCGCCACCGCGGTCGCGTCGGTCGCGCCAGACTAGCTGGCCACTCTGCGTGCGAGCCTTCGCGCGCCAGCGCGGCCGCAGAGATGTACCAGACAGCTCCAAGTAGCCATCGCAATCGCCGCCGCGTGGGTTCTGCAAACCCAGTTGCGGGCGGGTGGGCGGGATGATAGCGTGAGCATGGGTGGCAGCCACGCGCGAGGAAGTCAAAGTCAATTGCACCACACAGACTACGCCGCACACATTGCACGACATGGATTGCACCACGTATATTCTCCTTTCTCAAAACAGAATAGGATCTACCCCCCCCGGCGTTATCGGTACCCCTTTCGGGTATGTAAATCATATATGATTATGACCACATGTCCATCCTAAATGTGAATTTACACTATCCCAGGTCGGCCGGTATCCCCCCCTGAGGTTCCCTTGTAAAAACACTATGCGGTGACATTTTTTGTTCTAACATAGCACTTGTTCGCGAACACCTTGCAAAAATGAGACGAAGTGCACACGCGCGCGTCGTCGCGCGCGCATGCCGAAATCCTTCAAAAACCCTCGGTGCTGGAAGGATTTCGCAATCGAGTTTCCGATAAACATACAAAAACACAGGGTTTCGCAACATTGATTCGCTAAAAAAGCTTCCGCGCGAACTCTTGCGACATTTTAAGAAAACTATAGATTTGTCAAGATTTTCACAAAATGCTATTACACGGGCTTCGCGCGCGCGCATGCCGAAATCTGTCGAACGCCCTTGCGCGTGTGCCGTCGCGAGAATCCTCTGCAAAAAAACGGGACGAAGTGCAGACGCGCGCATCGTCGCGCGCGGATGCCGAAATCCTTCAAAACCCATCGGTTTCGGAAGGATTTCAAAATCGTATGTCCGAAAAACCTACAGAAGCCCAAGGTTTCGCAACACGGATTTTCAACAAAAGCGTGCGCGCGCGCTCTTGCGTCATCGTCGTCGTCGTCGTCGTCGCCGTCCTCCCTCCTCCCGCGTCGTCGTCGTCGTCGTCGCCTACGTCGTCCTCTGTCTTTCCTCGTGTTCGTCGTCGTCGTCCTCTTTGGCGTCGTGGTCGTTTCCGTCGTCGTTGTCGCCGTGGTCGTCCTTCCTCCTCCCTCGTCGTCGTCGTCGTCCGTCGTCGGCGTCTCGTCGTCGTCCCTTCTATTTCGTCGCCGTCGTCGTCGTCGTCGTTGTCGCCGTCGTCCCTCCTCCCTCGTCGTCGTCGTCGTCGGCGTCGCCGTCCTTCCTCCTTCGTCGTTCGCGTCGTCGCCGTCCTCCCTCCTCCCTCGTCGTTGTCGTCGTCGTCGTCGTCGTCGTCGTTGTCGCCGTCGTCGTCATTCCTCCTCCCTCGTCGTCGCCTTCGTTGGCGTCGTCGTCAGCGTCGGCGTCGGCGTCGGCGTCGTTGTCGTCGTCGAAGTCGTCGGAGACGTCGTCGGTGTCGTCGTAGTCATTGTCGTCGGTGTCGTCGTAGTCGGTCGTAAGAGGTTTTGCAAACCAAGTTGCGGGTGGCTGGGTGGGATGTTTGCGCGAGCAGTGGAGATGACGACTTCAAGTTCAGCAGAGTGGATTGCACAACATAGATCGCATCACGTGGTTTACGCCTTGGATTGCACAGCATAAATCGCACCACATCTATTGCACAACGGATGTTGCACGACATATGATGCGCAACGGGGGTGCACCGCCTTGATGGTATCACACATGTCGCATGTCGCACCACACAATTGCCCAACGTCGATGACACACCAAAGGTTGCACAACAGGCAATGCACCACATAGGTTGCACCGTATCTATTGCGCAGCGTAGGTTGCTAGAAACACCGTCTGGGGCCCACGATGTCTAACACACATACATAGGTGTACATGTATATATATATATATATATATAAATATGTACATTTCGGGAGAGGGAGTGGGCGAAAGAGAGAGAGAGAGAGAGAGAGATACATCGCTATATATAGAACGCCATAGAGGGAGAGAGAGAGAGAGAGAGAAAGCGAGAGAGAGAGAGAGGATCGGCAAAGCAAGGGATCTTCATAGAGGGGCCACGAGCGAGCGAGGAGCCGAGGATGGCCGACGGATTTGCCGCAACGCAACAACACGGCGGGCCAGAGCGGGCCGAGCGATGGGTCTGGGGCGGAGGAGGGAGACGGGTCAAGGCTCGCGAGCACGAGGTTCGAGGTTTCTGGGGTCGAGTGTGTTTGATGTTGTTCGTCGTCTTGGGCCTCCAAGCCGCCTCTCGCGCCACGGCTGGATCCGCCCCGAGCTTGTGGTCCAAACGCATCCCTGAGGTCCAGGGAGGAGGAGGGGGAGGAGGAAAAGGAGGAGGAGGAGGAGGAGGAAGAGGAGGAGGAGGAGGAGGAGGGGGAGGAGGTCCCCAGATGTCCAACGCCTCGGAACAATGAGACACATTTGTATCGTATCTGTCGGCCCCTAGGGGCCGTTGACGCTCCCCCGGGCCGTCAACAAAACCCATTCGGGACGAACGACATGTCCGTGCAAAGTGGCCCAATTCTCTAGGTACGCCGTGTTGAAAAAACAAGGCATCAAAGGTCTGGGCGGAACAAAGGGTAGGAGAAGGAGGAGGAGGAGGAAGAGGAGGATATCCGCATGAAGGAGAGGGGTTCTAGGGGGAAGGGGTCCGAAATGTGTTTGGCGCGAGATGTAGCAATAACAGTTGCGCGTCCCTGCGTAAGCCCATGCATGAGCAGTTGCGCGCTTTGCGCGCAGCCGACTACTTCGGCAGTCATGTCTCTACGCCCGCGCGCGTCGGCGTTGCACTGCTGCGCTGTGTACAAATTAACAGGGGCGCCATGTGGAGTAGCGCAGTGGTGCAGTTTCGCACGAACAACTGGCTGCGACGGGGACAGGGGGTGCGATCTGCGGCCTCCGCCCCCGATCCAATGCCCAAGCCTTGGTTTTTACTCTCGCCTCCCAATCGCCTCCTCCACCACCGACCCCCCTCCCCCCTCGCTCTGCCACTCCCTCTCGCCAGAGAGGCCAGGGGAGGAGAGGGGAAGCCACCGCATGGGCGCAGGCCTTCGGCAGGGACAGAGCTCCAGGAAAGCTCCACGGCGTTGGGAAGAGACCGGGCGGGATTAGCCCACGTGCGGCTGCTACGACTTCACGACGAGAGAATATCGGGGCGAAGAGCCCTTGCCGACGCGAGTCCGTTTCAGGTCGCACAGGCGTGGCCAGTCTGGGGCGAGCGAGCGTGGTCGTGGTCACCTTCCGGCCAAGGACGCGGGGCGGGGGCGGGCGGGGGAGGCCCCGCGCGGGAGGCCCGCGGCAGGGCCCAGCCCGGCGTGGGGGTTAGGGGGAGGGGTCGTCGACGGGGCTGGGGGGGTGGGGTGGGGGGGGGGGCGCGGGGGGGGGTGCTCGGAGGGGGAGGGGGGCATGTCGGGTCGTGACGAGATCTGCGGCGTCTTCCTCGATGCACGGGCGCCGGGAGAGGAGCAGGGAGAACCAGCAAAGTGGATTGAGCTGCTTCTCGGAGCATCGAGTGATACATTCGAGCATCATGCGAAGATCGGTCTGCATTCCGCTTCTGGCAAAATAGTTGCGTGCACAGTTTTAGCACAGGCGGGAGAGACGGGTTTGCAGCAGCAGCGCTTCCTCCGCAGCCATCTGCCCCAGAGGCCCCACAGAGGGCCGTGCTAGCAGCACGCATTGTGCACTGTGCACGCGTTGAGTCTAGGAAAAAAGTCATTGTGAGCTACCCGATATCCCCCTCCTTTCGCACTTCGTCCCCCCGAATGCCGAATGGAAGGGGGGATCGCGGCCCGTCGCCGCGTGGGCCACGCGGTGGCGCCTGGCTCGCTCTGGGCTGACCCGGGGCGCGTGTGTGAGAGGGTCGGCGCGCGCGGCTGGGCTCATCTGTCGTGGTGCGGAGCTGGGGCACCCGGTGCACGCGGGGGGGGGGGGGGGGCAATCATCGGAGGCCTAGAGGTTGACACCAACACCAAGATCGGCGGAGTGCCTTCACTGAGGAAGATGCTCCCAATCTTGGTGGTGGTGGTGGTGGTAATATTCGGGCTTTCAAAGTGGCCGAACTGTTACCACCGACACCAAAATCTAGGATCATCTTACCCCTGTGCAGGCAACCCTCTGTGTTGGTGTTGGTGCCCATTTCCACCAGGCCTCCGAAATCGTCGCTGGGCCCAGCGGGGGCGTCGGTCTGGGATTGCGCAGGGAGTCGTCTTACGAGAAGGTGCGGCCAGGGCGGCTTCGCGTCGCGACGTATGAATCATTGTTTGATTATGATAACGTTGTCTCGTGTGGGATGTGTGCATATCTCGACTTATTTACCCCTGATTCTTCTAAGACTATACACATGATGTCGGCGGGCTACAGTCTGTGCTGCCAAATCTGCACCCCAGAAAGGCCCCTTACTCCGTTTCGCGTCTGCAGGGTCGATTGCAACGATGAGGGCGACGAGGACGAGGAGGAGGAGGAGGAGGAGGAGGACGACGACGACGAGGACGAGATGGCGACGGGGAAGGAGTGTGGAGGAGGAGGAAGAGGAGGAGGAGGAGGAGCAGCAGCAGAGAGAGGCAGCAGCAGGAGGGAGGAGGACAGGAGGAGGAGAAGGAGGAGGTTGAGGAGGAGGTTGAGGAGGAGGCGGGGGAGGAGGACCAAGAGGAGGACCAGGAGGAGGGAGGAGGACCAGAGGGAGGAGGAGGGGGAGGATGGCGGGAGCAGGGAGGCGGGAGGAGAGGAGGAGGGGGATGAGGCTGGAGCATGGAGGCGGGAGGAGAGGATGAGAAGCAAGGGGGGACAAGGAGGAGGAAGACGAGGAGGAGGAGGAGGAGGAGGAGGAAGGAGGAGGCGGCAGTTGCAGCAGCAGGTGCCTCGCTCTGGCATCGGGGGAGTCCTTGCGCGCCGAGCCAGGACGACGACTGGGGCATCTTCTTCGCCTCCGATTCGGCCAGCAGGGGGGCTGAGTGGGCCTGCAAGGGGAGCCCTCTTCCCTCCCTCTCGTCTTCCTCCTCTTCCCCCCCCCCCCCCCTCGCCCTGCCAGAACCTCTTCCTTCCTCTTCCATCGTCCTCCTCCTCCTCCTCCTGCTTCCCGCCCTCCGCCTCGTCCGCCTCCTCCTCCTCGTCCTCCTCCTCCTCCACCTCCTTCCCTTCCTCCAGCTGCTCTCCAGCTCCTCCACCTCCTCCTCCCCCTGCTCCTCCTCCTCCTCGTTCCTCCCTTCCCCTTCCTCCATTCCTTCTCCTTGTAGATAACTTCTCCCTGTCGCACCCCGAGGCAAGCTTTTCGGGAGGGCCGGGCATTTCGCCTCAGAGTTCTTCACCATTTATGACCCTGAAGCTTTAAAAGTGACAACTGTTTCACAGATGGAGGGCGGGTGGTTTTCAACATGTGGCTCTCGCCTTAGCGCCGCGCACATTCGTTTTTAACATTTGCAAGAGTTCTACGGATTGAGGGCGGGCCGTTTTTTAAATGTGGCTCTCGCCTTAGCGCGGCGCACATCCGTTTTAAACATTGCCAGAGCTTCACGGATTGAGGGCTGGTCGTTTTCAAAATGTGACTCTCGCCCTAGCGCCGCGCACATTCGCTTTAAACCATTGCAAGGAGCTTCACGGATTGAGGGCGATCCGTTTTCAAGCTGTGTCTCTCGCCTTAGCGTCGCGCACATTCGTTTTAAACAGTTGCAAGAACTTCACGAATTGAGGGTGGTACCTTATCAAAATGTGGTTCTCGCCTTGGCGCCGCGCACATTCGCTGCAAACAGTTGCAAGAGTTTCACGGTTTCCCATGATCAACGTAGCAGAAATGGTGTGTTGGAAGGATTCAGGATTATGCGGGCGCAACAGATATGTTGGTCCGCTGTGTTGAAGTCCCCCAAAAGGCGTTCTGGCACGATTCTGGATCGTCAAGACGCAGCAGTCAGGTTGATACGTGGCGTTGAAATCCCGAGAACAATGTTTCGGCACGCTTCAGGATCTTCAAGCTGTTGTCTTCCAGCGAGGCAGTTCCCTCAATGGAAATGGACAGTTGCAGGGGCCTGTGAAGAGGGAGCTTGGAAGGAGGGTTAATTCCAACTTCGTTGATGACTCTTGGGTTTCCACTGGTCCTCCTCCTCCGCCTCCTCCTCCTCCCTCGTTCTCCCCCTCCTCGGCAATCAGATGCCACTTGGGGATGGGACAGGGGAGGCTGCGGAAGGCGAGGGAAGGCAAGGGGAGGAGAGAGGAGAGGGAGAGAGGAGAGGGAGAGAGAGGGGCAGAAAGGGCCTGGGCAAGGGGGCGATGTGGATGAGGAGACGGGTGGATTGTTTGCGGGAGGCGGGTGAGCTTTTTCGGGTGTGATCCAAGGGTCGCATACAGGCCAGCCGCCAGCCTTCTGCGGCAGCTGGCGGCGGGCGCAGCGCCTCAGAGGAGAGACAGCAGGCCGATAGCAGTGCGGTCGGACAAAGGTACATCTAAGATCGAGGTCGGTTCGGGGTGGTAGCACTAAGTCCAATTGGTTTGAGGCGCCACTTGCCACCCACCTTCTAGCCGCCACATTCCCCCCCCCCCCCGCGGGTGCGCCACCGAGGGGCGCACAGACAGCAACCCGCGGTGCGAAGCCCGCGCGAGAGGTGTGTGGGCCGAGAGTCGGGGGCGGCCAGGAGGGGGGTGATAGGGGGGGAATCTCATGGCGGGGTCCATGGTACGGTCGGGCCGTGGTATTAGATCGAGGTCAGCTCGGGGAGGTTACCCTGATGTTCTTCGTGTTTGTCGGGTGGGGCCACAGAAGATTTTACATTCTCAAAAGATGCTCTTCTGTCCTAGGTCCGGCTGTACTGTTTCGGTGCCTTTACCTTCTTTGGCCTCCTGGGGGACCCTCGTTGCCACGGATTAATTCGCAGTGGGGTCCTTGTCATACCGCGCCGGATCCGCGCCCTTGATGAGGTCCTCGAAGTAGTCAGTGCTGCCAGTATGTGTCTGTTCGCCAAGCGCCCGCGTCCGCCAGAGGGAAGAGAAGAGTATGGCGGAAGCAGCGACTGCAAAGCAGGGCGGAAATCGGCATCACAGGAGCTTGAAAAGAAGTAGGGCGGGAATTTCCGCCATACTTGCTAAATCGCCGAAAGAGGAGCACCGCTTTCTTCCGCTGCTGGCACCGGGTGGTTCAACCCTCCCCCCCCAAAAGAAAACAGTGGCCCCCCCAAGCCCCCGGGGAAAATTATTCGGGGGCGTCCAGAATCCCCTCACCCCCGGACAATTATGCGGAGGGGTCAGAATGCCCCCCCCCCCAGAAGATCCCCATAAAATTATTCGAGGCCCCCCGGCAACGACGACGACGACGACGACGTTTCTCCGCCGCCAGCGCCGACAGCCAATGATGCCGACGACGACGACGCCGACGACGCCTACGACGACGACGACGACGACGACGACGACGACGACGACGACGACGACGACGACGACCACGACCATGACCACGACACCGACCACGACCACGACGACGACCACGACCACGACGACCACGACCACGACCACGACCACGACCACGACCACGACGACACACGACGACCACGACGACCACGACGCCGACGATGGACGACGATCGAGTCCGAGTGGGATTCTGTATTAACGCTGAGTCGAGCCTTAATAGGTTTATATGTGCTCTGGAACCAGCCTCAGTAGGTTTCTATGGGGACTGGATCGAGCCCTGGCAGAATTCCAATAGAGCGGGATCAAACTTCATCGAAATGTTGCATTACCGCTGGATCGATCGCTGGCGGAATCCAAGTAGACATGGATCCAGCCCTGATAGGGCCCAGCCGTTGTAGGCATCTATGACAGCTGGATCGAGCCCGATTCGGATTGTTTTAGAGCTGGATCCAACACTCGTAGGATTTCGTTCGACTTGGATGGAACCGAGTCGGATTCCATCAGAAATTCAGTCGAGCCCTAATAGGATTCTGAGAGAGCATGATCGACCTGTCAAAGAATGTTTCTAAATCTGGATGGGGACCTAGCAGGATTCTGTTCGAGCTGGATCGATCCCTAGCTGGATCCGTTCAGAGCTGGATCCAGCCTTATAAGAGTTCTATGAAAGTTAGATCCAGCCGCAGTGGGATTCTAGTAGAGCTGGACCGGCCCTTAGTGAGATTATTGTAGAGCTGGGCTCAAACATAGCAGGATCCTATTAGAGTTTGTTCGTGCCCTTGTAGGGTCCTATCATAGCTGGATTAGGTGTTATTAGGACCCCAGCAGAGTTAGATTCCGTAGCATTGGGTCCAGCCCCAGTAGTATTTCATTACGGCTGGATCGAGACCTTGTAGATTAAAAATCAGTTTGACCGAACCCTTGGAGGCTGTTGTTAGAGCTGGATACAGCCCTAGCAGCAGGATTCTAACAGGATTCAAGTAGACCTGGGTCGAGCCCTAGTAGGATTCTGTCCGAGCCAGATAGTATCATTCCATCAGAGCTGGCGGTTGGCGCGGGCGCCAGCGACAGGTGCGCCGCCGCCGCCGCTGACGTTGCCGCCGTCGTCGTCGGCGTCGTCGTCGTCATCGTCCGTCGTCGTCGTCATATTCGTCGTTTTCGTGGTTGCCGTCGTCCGTCGTCGTCGTCGTCGAGCAGCAGCAGCAGGAGGAGGAACACAACGACGACGAGAAGGAGCAGAAACAGCAGCGGCAGCAGGAAGCAGCACCCAAGCGAGGGCCAGAAGAAAAGTGACACAGTAGGGAAGATCGAGAGGGGGAGGTGGGGGAGGACGAGGAGCACGAGGAGCAGGTGGAGGAGGCTCGGACGACGACGACGACGACGACGGCAACGACGACGACGACCAGGGGCCGGACGACAACCACGACCACGACCACGACCCTTGACATCCGCCGATGCGCCGATCCAGGGTCCCCGAAGTCCCGACCGCTTCCCTGGGGACAGCTCTTCGTCCCGGATCTCCGTTTTTGAAGGCCCGGAAAACCATCCCCGAGAGTCGGGGGTGGCCAAGAGTCAGCGGCTCCGCAACGAGTGCTCACTGACGGGTACTTCCAGGAGATTTGCCGAAAGTTGCACATGTTGGGCCTCTTGCTGGCACTGCAGCGTAGCCCACATCGGGGAGGGTTGGGTTCGCCAGGTCACTGAAAGAGAGGATTGATGATTCGGGGGGGCTGGATTTCGCGGGCTGCGGCCATGGTGTCTCCGCGGACTCCACGTCCCCCTTTTCTTTCAATACGTCCCTTGGTCCCCTCCATCATCCGAGCACCTGCCTCTGGCCGCGATTTGCGAGCCCCCCTCTTGGACGCCCCCTTCCTGGACGCCCTCGAGAGGGCCGAAATTGATGAACAAAAGCGCTGGTCGAAAAACACATTGCGGGAGAGCTGCCGGCGTTGTTCTGAATAACAACCACAGTATGGGAACGGTCTCGTCGCTACGTTTTGCCGAGGACGTTTAAAAAGTTGGCCATCGTGATTCCTCGCGCTGCGTTTCGCTGGGAGCGGCCGAAGAACGCGCCATCACGTTCATCGTCATAATCTGCACAACGTCAACGTTGGTACCTCCACGCCGCCCCCCGTCATGAGCTCCGTGAGTCGGATACCTCGTCTTGTCCGCGGTGGTCATGTCCTCCCCGATCCCCCCCCCAAATGCAAAGCTGAGTGCGGGCCCTTCGTCGCCGCTCGGCGCGTCTAGCTGTGCACACTGGGGGGAGGGGCAGAGAGAGGGTGGAGGGGAGGGGAGAGAAGGGAGGGAGGAGGAGACGGGGAGGGAAGGGGCGGGGAGGGCCAGGAAAGGGGGGAGAGATATAGCACCAATGGTAGTGCTAGGGGATGATGAGGAGGAGGAGAAGGAGGAGGAGAAGGAGGAGGAGGAGGAGGAGGAAAAGGAAAAGGAGGAGGAGGAGGAGGACAAGGAGGAGGGGGGGGCAGGGAGGAGGCCGAGGAGGAGGATCAGCAGGAGGCGGATGAGAGCAGGCTGAGAGGACGAGGAAGCGAGTGAGGATGCTGATGATATCGCGGGGGACGCGCGGGAAGGGACGAATGAGGAGGGGGAGGACGACTAGGATCAGAAGAGAAATGAGGAGGAAGAGGAGGATTGATGGTGATGTTGGTTTAGGATGCGGATGATTACGAACTTGACTACGATATGGGGCATCCATTTTTGGATGCCCCTGGATGGTGCTGCTGCTGATGATCATGGTGATGAGCATCACCATGACGATGGCAATTGTGATGATGGTGGTGGGAATGATGGTGATACTGATGATGCTGATGCTGATGCTGCTGATGCTGCTGCTGATGATGATGATGATGATGATGATGATGATGATGATGATGATGATGATGATGATGATGATGAGGCGGATGAGGCGGATGATTACCGATATGTTTAAAATGATAGGGCATCCATTTTGGGATGCCTTTTGACGGTGGTGCTGCTGATGATCATGATGATGAACATCACCATGACGATGGCCATTCTGATGATGATAGTGATGATGATGAGGAGGAGGAGGAGGAGGGTGAAGATGAGGCTCAGGAGGAGGAGGAGGAGCAGGAGGACGAGGAGGACGAACGAGGGGAGGATGGAGGACGGACGGGGGAGGCAGGAAAAGAGGAGGCGGAAGAGGTAAGAAGACAAAGGAGCGCGAGGGAACGCTGAATGTTGGCACGCCGCCATCCCTTTCCAGGGAGTGCGGGGCCGTGCATTCAATATGCATGCGGTCTGAGGGGGGCGTTCCACGTAAGTCATCGTGAGGGGTGAGTTTCGGATTTACTTATTTCAATTGGTAACTGTCTCCCCAGTGCGTTGCCCCAGGAGCGCGGTGAATCATCCCTGTCCTGGTCATAGTCGCCACCATTATGCTACCAAATCTGTGTGTATGACAGCCCCGAGGAAATGCTGCATTCAGATTGTGCCGAATGCCAACAGTATCAGAGGATGCAAACATCAGTAGAGGAAGTAAACATCCGAATGCGCCCCGCTACACTTCCGATTGCAAACAGCATCAGAGGATGTGTGTTGACCGGCTGGTTGAGTGCTTCAGCATCCCGCTGGCGCAAAACATTTAGAACCCAAGCAGCATCAGAGGATGTATGTGTGTAACTGGGTGGTTGGGCGCTTCAGCGGTCCGTTGCCGCAGGACATCTAGAATGCAAACATCATCAGAAGAGGTATGTGTTGACTGGCCGGCTGAGTATTCCAGTGGCCCATTGTCGCAATGCATCTGTCAGACGGTGGACAGGGCCATCTCATGAATTGTGTTGATGGCCGTTATGTTCAACAACACCGGTGGGACAGCAACCGCGACGTCGATGACGACGACGACGACGACGACGACGACGACGACGACGACGACGACGACGACGACGACGACCGCCCGCAAGAAGCGCCCTGCCCGGCGCCGGAGGCCAACGCCCGCGCCCTCGCGCTCGGGCAGGGCCGAGGAGGCCCCCGCGGCCTGCGCACTGCACGCGCGGGGCTTCCCCGGCCGAGGCCATCTTCGGTGCGATCGATAGGGGGTCGGAAACGATGGGCACGACGACCGACGGCTGATGCTGTCCATTTTGAGCGGGGCTCACCGCCGGCGTCGCCGAGGGCTTTGCCTATTTGGCACACAGCGCCGCCCGCCCTACAGCGGCCGCTGTCGGTCGTGACTTGCTCTCGTGCATCGTACGAATTCCAGGGGCGGCCAGGAGGGGGGTGATGATTTCGTCAGGGGCACAGGGGGGGATGCATCGACCCCCAGTCGCCCAATGATCGCCGATAGGGGCCCGATAGTCCCGACGATTGTCCCGACATGCCTAGGAACGTGCGGCTTCACTATCTGAGGCCTATCACCGTCGGTGATGTCTCCACGACTTCAGTTCTTTCGGCGGCGAGCCAATGGGGGAAGTGAGAGGGGGCAGGCCTTCTCAGAAGGCGGCAGGGTTTCTCAGAGGCCTGCCGGCCTGCTGAGAAGCCGTCTTTGTCTTCGGAACAAGGTTCAGAAAATGCCCCACCCGCTCTCAGTTTCCCGCAAGGCTCGCCGCCAATTCTTCCCCATTTTGAACAGGATTCGCTGTCGGCGTCACCACGGGCGCTGCCCATCTGATACACAAGGGCGTCTGCGCCACAGCGGCCGCTGCCGGTTCGGGGCATCATTTGCTGTTGATCATTGCGCCCATTGTTTCCGCACCTATGCCGGGCCGGGCCTTCCCGGCTTCTGTCACGAGCCTGGCCGCTGTGATCACGGGCACGGTCACACGCGTCTTTAATGATAACCGACAGTCGCAAAGCACACTCCAGGAATGAATTTTTGACAGGGCTGAGGATTATCAGACGGTTGTCGTCCAATGGATCACTTCTCGCAATGAAGATAATTGCTTGTAGGGGCCGATGAAACAGAATTTGGAGGGAGGGTTCGTTGCAACATTGTTGACATCGTTGATACGTCTTGGGTTTACACTGATCATCCTCCTCCTCCTCAACCTCCCCCTCTGGGGGCGGGATGCCTTCGCGGGCCCAACCCTCTCAGGGGCAGCGCTGGGGGCGGGATAGGTGTTCGGACGCCTTCGTCGGCTCTCAGCGGCTTCCGAACTCGGGATGCGCTCCAGCAGCTGTGCATCGCCGCGAGCGCCCAGGGGGTGCCCGAATCGTCCTGAACGGCCGCCAGAGGTCGGCGAAGGAGGGCAGAGGAGGAGGAGGAGGAGGTGGAGCAGGAGAAGGATAAGAAGGAGGAGGAGGAGGAGGAGGAGGAGGAGGAGGAGGAGGAGGAGGGAGTAGGAGGAGGCAGGAGGAGAAGGAGGAGGAGGGCGGAGGGAGGAGGAGGTGGAGGAGGAACAGGAGGAACAGGAGGAGTACGAGGAGGAGGATAAGGAGGAGGAGGAGCAGGAGGAGGAGGAGCAGGACGAGAACGAGGAGGAGGAGAGACCAGTGTAAACCCAAGAGTCATCAACGATGTTGGAATAAACCCTCCCGCCAAGCTCCCTCCTTCGTAGGCCTCTACAACGTGTGACTTTCATTGAGGGAACTGCCTCGTTGGAAGACCACCCTTTGAAGACCCTGAAGCATGCCAAAACATTGTTCTCGGGATTTCAACGCCACGGATCAACTTGACTGTTGTGTTTTGACGATCCTGAATCGTGCAAGACCGCCGTTCTTGTGATTTCAACGCCGCGAACCAACGTAACTGTCGCATCAGCAGAATCCGGAGTCCTTCCAAAATCCTAATCCTGAGTCCTTGCAGATACGATTAACGAAGGCCCGCGGCGCTAAGGCGAGAACCACATTTTGAAAACGGATCGCCCTCAATTCGTGAAACGCTTGCAATTGTTTAACTTGAATGTACGCGACGCTAAGGCGAGAGCCACATTTTGACAACGGATCGCCTTCAAGCCGTGCAGCTCTTGCAATGGCTTAAAGCGAATGTACGCGGCGCTAAGGCGAGAGCCACGTTTTGAAAACGGGTCGCCCTCGATCCGTGAAGCTCTTGCAATGGTTTTAAACGCATTTGCGCGGCGCTAAGGCGAGAGCCACATTTTGAAAACGGGTCGCCCTCGATCAGTGAAGTTATTGCAAATGTTTCAAACGAATGTGCGCGGTGCTAAGGCGAGAGCCGCATTTTGAAAACGGCCCGCCCTCCATATGCGAAGCCGTTGCCAAGTTTTAAGCTTCAGAGTCATCAGTGGTGAGGAAGTTTCAAGCGAAACGCCCAGCCCGCCCTAAACATTGGCCTCGGGGTGCGACAGGGAGAACTTATTTAGAAGGAAACGGAATGGAGGACAGAGGAGGAAAGAGGAGGAGAGAGGAGGAAGAGGAGGAAGATGAGGAGGAGAAGGAGGAGGAAAAGGAGGAGGAGGAGGAGGACCTGTGCCGCTGGGTGCCCTCGTGGCGCCCCAGGAAAACAGGCGGTTTGGCAGCCCGATCGTCACCACAGCTCGACGGGGCTGCGGGAGAGACTCTTGCCCTGTGGTTGGCCAGCCACAGTAGGCGCGGGCCCGGTGCCGGTGGCCGTGTCTCGGGGTGGCATCTCGAGGCGCCTCGCAACGGCGGCGCAGATGTGACGCCCGGGGCGGGTCTGTGTCGCCGTTTATGTTGCGAGGTCCGATTGCATGTGAACTCACGCAGGCACCTTGGGCGACTCCCTTCGGGTTGTGTCGCCCAGGTGCTCTGTCCGGGCACAAAAAGGAGGAGGAGGAGGAGGAAGAGGAGGAGGGAAAGGAGGAGGAGGAAGAGGAGGAAGAGGAGGAAGAGGATAATGATGATGATGATGATGATGATGATGATGATGAGGAGGAGGAGGAGGAGGAGGAGGAGGAGGAGGAGGAGGAGGAGGAGGAGGAGGAGGAGGAGGAGGAGGAGGAGGAGGAGGAGGAGGAGGAGGAGGAGGAGGGGGGAGGAGGACGAGGAGGAGGAGGCGGAGGACGAGGAGGAGGAGGAAGACGAGAGAGAGGACAAGCAGGAGGAGGAGGAGGAGGAGGAGGAACATGAGGAGAAGGAGGAGGAGCAGGAGGAGGAGGGGCAGGAGGAGGAGGAGGAGGAGGAGGAGGAGCAGGACGAGAAGGAGGAGGGGGATGGGGCGAGCCAGGGCCCGAAAGCCCGACGGCCCGCGAAGCCGACGGGGGGGCCCGAGGGAAGTTTTGCAGGCATCGACCCGTTTCAGGTTCCAGAATCACCCTGGAACGGTTCCGGGGTGAAAATTGGAACCTGAAGCGGGTGATTTTCCATTTGGGCGCTTTCCGGAGCCTTGTGGGTGCCTCTCGGGGATGGGGGGAAGTGTACCCGAGCTCCCAGCATGGTCATTTTTCAAATGAGATCTCTTATTGGTGAGCTTGTGTTTCGCGGCTGGTCCCTCCCGCTCAGCGTCGGGAGGTCCCGGATGGATTTTCACCCCAGAACCGTTCCAGGGTGAAAATCAATTTATAGCCCTCTCCCAACGCAAAACGGTTCTTTGGGGGATGGGCGGGGGGGGGTGTACCCGAGCCCCCAAAATAGCCATTTTCCAAATGAAATCTCTCATTGGTGAGTTTGTTTTTCGCGGCTGGGCCCTCCCGCTCAGCGTCGGGAGGTCCCAGATGGATTTTCACCCCGGAACCGTTCCAGGGTGAAAATCCATGTGGGACCTTCTCCCATGCAGCGCAAAACGGCGCTGTCGGGGATGGGGGGTGTACCCGAGCCCCCCAAATTGCCATTTACTAAATGAAATTTCTTATTGGAGAGCTTGTTTTTCGCGGCTGGGCCCTCCCGAGGTGGTCCCAGATGGATTTTCACCCCAAGACGGTTCCAGAGTGATTCTGGAACTTGACACGGTCAGTGTCAAGCTTCCAGAATCACCCTGGAACGGTTCCGGGTGATTCCGGAACCTGAAACGGTGGATTTTACAGGGGTCCCCCGTGGTCTTTCGGCGCTGCTGCGGGCTCCGTCGGAGGCCCCCCGCGGGACCCCGAGGAACTCCGAGGAAGGCCGCCCTCCTGGGGCCCGTTGGGAACCTCTTGCGGGCCCCCTGAGGGCCTGTTGGCCTTCGGGGGCCGTCTTGGGGCCCTGCATTGGGCAGTCGTGAGTCCCCCTTTGGGGCGCACGGGGGCCATCTTGGAAGTCGTCTTGGGGCCGTTTTGGGGGCCTCATTGGACTGTCGTGGAGCCGTGTTGGGCCTTCCTGTGGGCCTCAGGGCTGGCGCCAAGGGCCCGTGGCCCTGGGTCCGTTTCGCTCGGGGCCCGTATGCCTCGTGCCATGAGTCAGGGCCACGCCACCCTGCGATATCCAGTGCTTTGCCGTGGCGTCGCTCGGACGTGTGCGCTGTTTCTCGGCAAGGGCCATCGAAGAGCAGATTGGGCCATCTGGAGAACAGTGCACACGCGCGAAACCGAAACATGCACGGGGAATGGACGTCCGAGCGACGGCAAGACGTTGCAGGATGCTGGCCAGAGAGCGGAGGCTGGAGGATTTTTCTGCCCACGGCTGCAGCTTGCTCGGGCGTGCTGGTGTCCTGGTTTGCCGAGAGGTCCCCGATGATAGGGGCCCGCGTTGCTTGGAGCGGCACGTCTCGTACACCCAGGCCAGGGTACAAGATCGAGGTCGGTTCGGGGAGGGTGCCCTAATGTTCTTCGTGTTTGTTGGATGTTCTTGTGCATCCTAGGAGAGGGCACCCTCGAATGTACCTCATTTTGGCTGGCGAGGGTCTCATGTTCTTCTGTCCTAGGTCCAGCTGTGGTCTCAACTGTCTGATTATCTGGGCAATGCTTGCACTGAGGGGCTCTCCTGCCGTCGTGATAGTACGTGGTCTGGCTGGTTCGTGACGGGTTTCGCCGCCGTTGCCGTATCACTGGCTCCGCGCAGCCCTCGTCCTTCCTCCTCTGTCCTCGGCGCCTCTTCCTCCTCCTCCTCCTCATCCTCCTCTTCTGCCCTCGTTCTGCCTCTGCTCTCGGAGGCTGGTCTGTGAGTCTCTGCCCGCGCCTCTCCAGAAGGAGCC